TACAGCATCGTCCTCTGTCGGTATGGGATGGGCTACTGTGTTTGCTGCTTTGGGTCCTTCGGGATTTCACCGTCGATTCTGCATAGGGCGACTTTTGATGGCTTTGCGGTCTCGATCGGAAACATGAGTGAATTTTTAAAATCCATGTTTATCAGAAACCGTTTCCAACGGACAGACTCAATTGCATTTGATTGTTAACAATACATTTTGAACTTTATGTAAACTATATCGGAATGCGCATGTGTGTGACTGATGGAAACTGTAATATTGAATTGCTCTAGGAACAAAGCTATCCTTGATTTATTGCATTGCATAAAATAAAATAGATCGGTGTTGCATTTATTATTTATTAGTGTTTCAGTCTAATTTGGTTGAACAAATAAGAGTAAATATATATAACAGTAACAATCTCATCTATAGATGATAAACAAAAAATATGCAACTATTCATAAGTTATTACGTATTTGACAGCATCCTACTTTTCTGACTATTTCTATGCATATATTGAGAAAACGTGCAATTTTCATTTTTATGCAACAAATCTACAGAAAATTATGAAATTAGAAATGTTACTTTCGATTTGAAACATTTTTTATAGGAAAAGGTTTCTCATAATTTTAATATTTCACATACTTTACTCTTTTATATTTAATAAGAAAATATATCAATATCTATAATTATATTAACCCATTGAATATCTTTTTTTCCTAAGTTTCGCCTGGCATGTCAAAAAATAAATCTCTTTAATACATTCATACTTAAACTCTTTTCGCTCTTCTTCCACTATTGAATTTTTAATAAAATGTAGAAAGGAATACAGCTTGACTAATACCTAATAGGTAACAGTGAAACCAGTTATTTGACATCAATGAAGATGATGAAAACGTCGGTCAACGTTTCAAAGCTTGGGGAGAAATGGGGATGATGTTGAGATAGTGCAGAACTTGTAGGGGAGGGAGCGAGACAGTCTCGCTTAACATACCCTGTGAAAGAAAGACTAGCGAGACAGCCCCATCACCTTCTCAGAAATAACTTTATTGTTCTCATTAGCCATTTTATTTTTTCGTAGACACCATACTTTGACTCCATACTACACATAGGGGTTGCCAGGTTATGAAGGATTTAACCCGGGAAATATTTCAAGTTTCCAGGTTTTAACAATTCATTCTGGGAATTAAAAAGACAAATTATCTCAATAATTTTATTTTGAAAAATATATATAATGAGCCTAGTAGAACATAAAACAGACAGATTTCCTGTATCTAAACATAATGTATAATGTATATGCAGTTTACATAAAAATAAGTTGGGTTCTGTAGAAATATAGTGGATAAATATAAATATCTGACTAGATTAGATTATATTGTTACAATATAGTTACACATGTATAAGTAATTTACTGTTGCCATTTATATTTAGCATTAGATTTGACTGCTGTCAACAGTTTTGACGCTTCCGGTTTATTTAAAAATTGTACAAAATCAGCCCATCGATTTAAGCGACAATTTGGCAAGTAAAGTGATTGTTTATTAGTCATATCGATCACTCAAATATTTAATTGCTTTTTTAAAAAACATTAACTTCCGAGGTAAATAAAACCCGCTCATCTTCACTTAAAGTTTTTATAATACTACGGACTTGCTTCTGCAAAATTGATCTCTATGTCTAGCTTCCATACCGGACATTAATTTTTTCATTACTCTATCAATCTCTAATATTGAACAAGGGTGGCTTTCAAATTTAAGTACTGCTGTCTGAAACACAGGCATAATATTATGTATGAAATACAAATAGCATTCTGAGAGGCCTTCTACTTTGTTGTCGCCATCATCTAATCAAGATTTGTATTGTTAATGACGCGAGAAATATAATCAGAGTATTTTTTCACAATGTTCTGGTTCTTTCAATATATAGCAGGCGATAAATTGCTGGAAGAAGCGACAGCTATCTAGTGGGTATGTGGCGCAGTAGCTCTTTATATTCTATTTGCGCAAATTCAAAACATTCTTTTAAATTTTCGGTCCTGCTTGCTGAAGAACTAAACCCATTGTAAATTTTAACTACAATGCTTTCAATGTCGCGGCTCAATGCTTTCATTGAGTTATGTCTCCCATAATTTATAGAGGCATTGTCGGCACTATATGCAGATATTTGGTCCATTTTTAAACCGTTGCCCTCGGTAACGTATTTGATACTTTGGAAGATATCTATGGATCCTTCTTTTGGATCTTCATAAAACTCCAGTAACTTTCTACATACTATCTTTCATCGAGGATGAAAATATTGAACAGCATAGGGGTAAGTAACAGAATTACCAGCCGTCGTTCAAATCTTCTATGAGCTGTTGCGAAAATACACCCTGCATGAAATTTTGGAGGATATTTTACTATCTGCATAAATATTTTGCATAAGTTTCATTTGACAATAAGCTAATTTAATTCATGTACAACATTGTGAAAGACTCCCACCAGTTCGGCTTTAGTAACCAGTTTCTTCTGTGGATTTTTTGAAAAAAAATTTTACATGCTACCCGACATTTTAGCAACCAATTCAGTTATTTTATCCAGAATTTTTATCAGCATTATGAATGCAACATATTTTACCTTTCACATCTGAAGTGAAATACACTATACAAGCAGACATTTTTTACTGAAACTGCAGCACTAAAATTCAATTACTGTGTAGTAAAATAAAATTCTGTTGGATAATATCAGTGGCACTTCGTCAGGTGATGCACCGCTCCACCTAAAATTTCCGTTTGGTTGTGTAATTTAAAATTATTTTTAATTTTATAATTTAGATATAATTCTATATTGAAAACGTATTGTGTTTGTTTGTTTAATATGCAGAAATAAACAGAATAGTTGCGCAGTAAACGCCTTCAAAAAAAACATTGCCTTCGTTGAGCGCGAACATTAACCTCGTACCGTAGAACGTTTAGTACACGCAAGTGACAAATCGAAACAGTCTGAATTCTGCTTCTCTTTGAAGCGTTGTTTACGGCGGTTGTTATGGCAATGAGGCGGCCAATATGGGAGAAAATTACGGCGGGGGGAACGAGTGACGCGGATATTGAAGCAGCGCAGCATCGTCATCGCTCATCGCCTGCCTTTAAACAGTCGCCCAGTGCACGATTAAATATTTGTTTTGTAGAATAACTGTAGAAATGTTTCCTATTCCAGCATGTATTTTATTGGAAATGCCATTTTTCAGATGGAAAATTGAGGACAAAAAGGATTTTTTAAATTGCGAGACCTGTGCCTTATTCTCTATATATGGAAAAAAGGGGAAGTACATTCGGAAATTTCAGAATATAAGTGGTTGGAGTGTTTATTTAAAAAAACTTTTCTGTATACCGTGTTTAATTGTGGGTGTAGTCAGGTGTGTGGAATAAGGGGGGATTTAACAATTTTGGGAGTCAATCGAGGCTGTCATAATCACAAAGCTTCTTTGGAACATACATGTACGGTGTGCGTTAATGTTCGCAGAAGTCCACAAGCCGAACTAATATTTCTATTTTTTATAAATTCTAAATGAAAATTCTTTTCACGAACGTCAGTTTTTCAGAAATATTGCAAATGCAACTAAAAATTTCCAGATTCATGTAAAGCCGTTTGACTGCCTGCGGACTTTTTTTTTTTAGTCAATCAATGAATATGCTTCACCTGTTCTCAATGTCACGAGCCACCACTGGAAAATATAATTCATAGTATCCATACATTTTTGTGTAAACTTTTCTTGCATAAATATCACTTAATTTGAAGTGCAAAACTACCAAAAACTGATTGAATTAATTAGCCTGGAATCGTTAAAATGGGAGTAGGACTGATTGCGAATAAGAGGACAAACATGATAGTAGTACTTTTATTTCAGTAATTATAATGAACGTTCAATCAAGCTTGTTATATAAACATGTCACAAGTTTAAGGCAAATATATTTAATTTTTACTACAAACTTCAAACTGGTTTCATTTAAGAATGCAGTATTAATACTAGTAACATAAAAGATTTTTTAAATAAAAGAAATACAAATTAAATAAAAATAGCAATTTAATAAGTAAACAGGAACGTGTAGTAAAAAACAGTTTGGTAATAACAATATACATGTCACAAACAATATTAAAAAGGCCTCAATTAATCAATAGAATGCACGGTACTTTATACTGAAATAAAAAAATTACTGAAAGCATGATACTATATTACATCTCTCACATTTAGTTTTCAAGTTTTGATTTTTCTTAAAAAATATACAGTAACTTCAAAACAGAACTTTTACTTAGTCTTTAAGGTCTGATTTATACTCTGGGATTCAACGTAAGACAGTTGTTCAATCACAATGTAATATAAAAATTTAAAGCCTTCATTGTAGTAAAAGAATTGCACAGCCTAATATTGGATTAATAATGATAAATAAAAATAGCCAACTACAGAAACAACTATTTTTTAAAACACACTTGTAGAATTCATAATCGATTAATTTATAAAAGTATAAATTAATTACGAAAAAATTTTGATTCTTTTATAAATTTAGAATTATTAAATTTAATTATCGAATATCCCTATACCCACTTCAAAATTGCTGTTAAAATTTATAATTATATTCAACTTTACTTGACAAGATTAAAAAAATATCGAGAAAACCTGATAACTATACTTAAAAATTAATTATTATGACCAATTACATTTTTTTCTTAACTGAATTTGTTATTTTCACTTTATATAAGACTTAATAGAATTAAAAAGAAACTGTTTGACAAATAACTGCCTGAAAATCAAAAAAGATATTTTAACAAACAACACACATTGTTCAATCAAAATGCAATAATAATGTTTCTTAATAATGAGTATAAAATGTTCTTTTCGATAAAGAATGAAAAGAATACATATCAAGGGAATGTCAATACTAGTTAGTAATTTTAGAAGCGCATTTGGTTTTAGAGGCCTAATAATAAATTATTAATTATATTTATAAAAAATAATAAATAACTTAAGCAAATAAATAGTATACAAGTTTCTATAAAGGTTTATTTAAAAAATTGTATACTAGACTTTTCATTAATTTATTTTCGTTTTGTAGTTTTACGACTGAGTTGCTCTTCAGCTGTCAGTTTTGCCTTATAATCTTCCACAATTTCTCGAGCATGGCCAAGCACCGTCAGAGAATCGTTAATTAATTCTTCCCAGTTTTTACAATATACTGAAATAGAACAATACTATAAACTTTGCAAAATACAGTTTTAAATAGTAAGTATAAATTACATTTTCTGTTTGTCGAATATAATTAATAATACAATTAAAAGACATAAGTACTTTTAATCATAGTAGAGTGCCAGCTTCAATTTATTTTCACTTCTGTGGGTGTCGCGGGGTTACAAGCTGAATTATATATAACATTGAAGCTTATATCTTACTGAATCAGAATTCGAAGGTAATAAAAAAATAAAGCGGGAAGAAGGGCAGTAAAATCAAAAAACGAGTTATCACCACGGGCGGATAATCCAGCCAACTGGCTATAATTCTCTAAAAAAATTAAACTTATATTTTGTACAGCATATATTTTTTATCAATTTTTGAAAGTTGCTCTTAACGTTGTCTTATGGCAGAAGAAATTTCAAATTCAACATTTTTTTAGTTCCAATCCAACGTCATTTACCGGAAAACGAAGACCTTAATTGAAAAATTTTACTCTTGCAAAACAAATTTCATTCATCAATTTGAAAGACAACTGTTTAATTTAAACTTTTTTGCTTCAATAATAAACAAGATATGGATAAAAATACAAAATAAGTCATTTTTTGTCTGGCCGACGGACGGCTGGCTGCTTTGCGTCCCCATTACTTTTTATTTTGATATTTCTTATCTTACTGGAATTTTAAGTGTGTGCCTATTTATAGTGGCTTTCTTATGTGTTTATATTTTCATAAATATAGTTTTGTGGGCGAGTTCAGTACCTAACACTGGTTACAATCGGGTTAAACTTAATGTTTTACCTTTTAAAAAACTTAAACACATAGTGGTTGGTGTCCAGTGTTGTTAACAAGGATAATCTAGATGAGAAATTTTACTTTAGTTAATTGTAGGGAATTCCACATTCCAATTATAGATTTTTTATCAGAATTTAGCAGTGCACGAAATGGAAAGTTCTACAACTGATAGCACTAATTCTGAGAGCGAAATCGGCTCACTTGTAAAATTCAAAATGCAAAAACACCAAAAATGTATAATATGTAAAAAAATTGGAGGTATTATAATCAAATCAACGGATAAAACTTTCTTTACTTTTATGAATTCGACTAAGATTCGGAATGTAGATGAGGACATATAAAAAGTGATTACTGATGGTGCCTATATGAGCAAACAAAATATTGAAAGTTTAAGGAAAAGAGTGGAAAGACTGAAAGAGTACAGAGTAGCTGGTATTGAACCTCCACCACTTCTAGGTAAATCGCTTTGTAAGGGTGGATTTGACATAAATAAATGTTTATTTTGCCAGAAGTGGTCTCCTGGGAAGAGATTATCCCAAGTTATGTCTAAAAATATAGAAACTAAAATAAAAAACATTGCATCGATCTCTTCAGGAGTTTTAGAAACAATAGACTCCAATGATTTAATAGCAATGGAGGAAAAATATCACGTGAACTGCTTAATGACAGAATCAAAAAAATTGGGAACACATTTGGTAAACCACACTATTGTAGAACAAAGTACTACAGAAAGTACCAAAAAAAAATTTCGTCAAGCTGAATACACCTTTACAAAACATAATAAAATTTGTTGAAGTTAGTATTGGAAAAGGAAAAGGTTTTACTAGTACAGCTATTTTCAACAGGTACAAAGAACTCGAAAATAACGCTTATAGCAATACTTACACAGAATTTCGGATGTAAAATAAAAATCTTAAAATCAGGATAAGCAAATGTTTCATCGCTAATAATACCACCAGTTAAAAAGTCCAAAAAGCTTCACAGTTATACAGGGTGTCCCATTTTAATGTCCCACCCCAAATATCTCGAAACCCGAGCAGAATGAGGAAAAATGTTTTAGACAAAAGTTATAGGGTTCGAAGGGGGACATACGATGGTGACCTTGAAAATGACCTTGAAGTCGATTTTCAAGGTCAAACGAGGGTCAACTTCGATTTTTCAAATGAAAACCCCTATTTTTTATAGCAGGATCGTATTCTACGGAAAAAAATACAAACTTTTTGCGGGAAACTTTTTTTCGAAAATGCATTTTTTCCGAGTTTTTCACGAATTTCGTTCGTCATGTTGTTTGAAGTGTCAGATGGATCCTGGCTGGGATTCATGCATTACTCGCTGCCTGATCGTGTGCCACCGTTGTTGGAAGATCTGCCACTTGCTTTGAGGCAAATAATGTGGTTCCAGCATGATGGAGCTCCGGCACACCGTGCACGACCGGTGAAACTTTATTTGAACCGCACATTTCCCCGTCGATGGATCGGGATAGGCAGTCTAGTCCATGAATGGCCAGCAAGATCCCCGGATCTTACTCCCCTTGACTTTTTCCTCTGGGGACTAGTGAAAGAGAAAGTTTTCGTTGAAGCTCCGACAACACGGGACAACATGAAAGAGAGGATTAGGGCTGCGTTTCGAGGAATTCCCATCCAAACCCTTCGAAACGTTCAAGTCAACTTTCGGCAGCGTGTGCAAATGTGCATTGACCGGGGTGAACATTTAATCGAGCATTTGATGTAAGAATGACACAAAACCTCCAGCCACTGACACAATCGGCCCTTTTCAGGACCAATCGATGACTTTTACGAAGAAAAACGTATCTTCATCTACTTGAACATACAAATACGTTTTTCTTCGTAAGGGTCATCGCATTGATGTGCTGAATCCTATCGGCAACCTCCACGTGGTGCACATCGGGTAACGCTAATGCCGAGGGTAACACATGAATCCCAGCCAGGATCCATCTGACACTTCAAACAACATGACGAACGAAATTCGTGAAAACTCGGAAAAAAATGCATTTTCGAAAAAAAGATCCCTGCAAAAAGTTTGTATTTTTTTCCGTAAAATACGATCCTGCAATAAAAAATAGGGGTTTTCATTTGAAAAATCGAAGTTGACCCTCGTTTGACCTTGAAAATCGACTTCAAGGTCATTTTCAAGGTCACCACCGTATGTCCCCCTTCGAACCCTATAACTTTTGTATAAAACATTTTTCCTCGTACTGCTCGGGTTTCGAGATATTTGGGGTGGGACATTAAAATGGGACACCCTGTATAATAAATGCTGCATCTTCTCCTAGTTATTCTCCAATATTAACTCGTGGCTCTGAACCAGTGGCGGTTTTACCATAAGAGCTGCAGAACACATAAAATTTTATGTATTTAATTATTAAATATCAACAAAATATTTAAAGAATCCAAATGTACTCGTGCTAAAATAAATGTAGGAGCTTATATTATTTATTACGATGCGAGCTATGCTCCTTAATATATGCAACCTCGTATACAAAATGTGTGCACAGCGAACGATTAGATGCGTCCTTTGTATTGATTGGCTAATCAGGCATGCGACCCAGTACACGAATATATGGAGTTATGTGGCTGCAACAACGACAGCCACTGCTGCAGTAATAAATGCAGTAATATTTCGTACGTGGTGGTTTATTTCTGCGAGCGGCACGTGTGAATATTTTCATTTAGGCGTCTACGGATATTATAGTTATTAAAATGAATAACGTTTCGTTTAAAAAAAAAAAAACTTTATTTGGTTCTCTGCGTTATGAGGATAAACTAAAAATAAAAGAATTAGGTGGGCCAACACCACAATTAAATATTGAAGGTAGTGGAACAAGCCGAAGTAACAGTTATAAAAGACAATTTAACAATAATGTATACACAAAAGCAGTGGGTGTGGGGGTGTGATTTAAAAAATACACCGTTTTGTTTTCCGTGCTTACTTTTCGGTGGGGATAAAGCATGGATATACAGTGTGAAAGACTTAAGTAATGTAAGTCATTAGGTAAAATAAACATAGAAAGTCAAGTTAGATTCTACATATTGGTATAATATATGGAAACACAATGAACAGGTAACGAAAAATCGTTATGTATTGTCTAAAATCGTAGATTGCATAAAATTTTGTGGAGCTTTCGAATTAGCACTTCGCGGACACGAGACAGAAAATTCGGACAACCCTGATGTGTTTCGTGGACTCACAAATTTTAGTGCAGATCTTGGCAACATATAAAAGGACATCTAGCCAAATGGGTATGACCTTGATTTTCTGTGACTGTACCGGGAATTAGCTGTATGGTCCCGGATTTCGGATTTGCACGTATAACTCCCGGAATATAATATAATGTACATATATATAAAAAAAGAAGAAGAAGAAGAAGAAAAGAAAAAATCATAATACGGCGAGGAAAATTAAAATTCGTTGAATCGTTGGTAAATTTCACAAACGATTTTTTTGTTGATAAACAATATTCAATAATTTAATAAAATATATTTAATTTATTCCAATTTATTTATACTGTCAGTAGGTAATTTGTGAACAGATATTTCAAAAATCGTTCTTGTGAAAATCTGTATTTTTGTATAAATGGATTGTTCCTTGAAATTCAGAAGTGCCAGGAAAACGCGTGACCTTGAAAGTTTTAAAAATTTTCTAATTCAATTCAGCAAATATAACAACCCTAAGCAGAACACATTCAATCAATGTTCACGCGCCGCCACTACTCCGAACCATCCCTGCTTCACAAAATATGTTGTGATATAAAACGTGGAATGGACAAAATACCAAATATTACCGATTTGTGAATATAAAAAAATTGATATTTTTAAATCTAATTATTAAAAAAATCATATTTTGTGAGACAGGTGCGACTGTGTCGAAGTGGGGACGTGAAGCAGCCAGCCGTCCGCCGGCCGATCGAAAAATGACCTATTTTTATCCATATCTTGTTTATTATTGAAGCAAAAATTTTGAATTAAACACTGTTGTCTTTCAAAATGGTGACATAAACTTTTTGCAAGAGTAAAATTTTTCGATTAGGGCCTTCATTTTCCGGTAAACGGCGTGGGAACTAAAAAAATGTTGAATTTTAAGATGTTAAGTTTAAAAATTTATTCTGCCATAAGACTCAACGTTAAGAACAACTTTCAAAAATTGATAATAAATGTATGCTGTACAAAATGTAAGTTAATTTTTATAGGGAATTATAGCCAATGTGCTGTATTATCCGCCCATGGTGATAACTCGTTTCTTGATTTTACTGCCCTTCTGCCCAAGTTATTTTTTTATTACCTTCGGATTCCGATCCAGTAAGATATAAGCTTCAATTTTATACATAATTCAGCCTGTAATTTTTAAGCATATTTAACGCTTCCGGGCACTCTACTATCACTAGTACTATTAATTAATTTATTCAAACACTTTGTCATGATTCAGATGAACTAATATAATTCTTCAGCGCAGTTTCTAAAATGGTTGCCCAAATTAAGGAAAAAAATTCATTTAAACAATAGTGCCGGTTGCCGAAAATTATAGTGGATCTCATATAATTTTTTTAGAGAGAAATTTTGTCAAAAAAACATTTGTGAAATAAAAAATTAAAACATGGTCAATTTCCACTCCGATCTTAAAAAGAGTTGCACATACATTTTTCAAAATACTTTGAAGTTATACCTTAACATAAAACTTTTCAAATTTCATAATCTTTAAGACAAATGAAAATTTTCCAAAAAATAAAATATCTAAACCCCTAAACTTGTCTCCATATGTATACATTGGATTGTATCAGTAGTCTAGTTTCTACAACAACATAAATATGATATGTGAGTTTTAAATAAGTCATTGAAACTAGATAAACATTGCACTACATTTAATGGATTTTTAATGACGCGAGTCAATAGAAGTTACTCAAATTTTGTAAAATGTGTGTCAACTTTAAGGGGTCAAAACCAGATTATTTTCAGATTCATTTTTTTTATTGACTGAACCTTCTAAAATAAGGGGAAAAAGTTTGATATTTGTACAAATTTTTTTTCTGTGAAATTCTGAACTCTATCACAAGTCCTTCGGAACGCTCCGAAATGACTACCTGGGCCCATAGATACCTGTCGGAAGGGTACAGGCATTAGGCAAATAAAGTATGTATGTATAAGTTAGAAATCAAAAGATAAGTCACTAGACTTACCTTTTGATTTCTAACTTCTCTAATACTACTAACAGATGTTGTTAGACGGTTTGTGTTCATTAGAAGCATTTTTAAACGAAAGACTTTAAAGGGATTTTTCTCGAAACACGATTTTTTAAAACGGCACGATACAAAATTCTTTGTTTTTTCCATATTTAAATTTGTGTCAGCAGAGCACCTTAAATTCAACATGCCTTGCGAGATTGACTGCAACTATTTTGTACTATTTATGAATATATATTATTTTTAACATTTAAAGACATGGTTTTTGAATATTATTTATTATCCTCTTACTTTTCCTTCCACTTGAAAAAAATTGCAAAAATGTTTTATTTTAGAATTTTACAGTGGTGTTACCCCTTAATAAATCAACTATTTCTTTGTGATTATTGATTTACCTTGCCCCAATTAGTTTGGTTATTTGAAGTTCTACTGTAAGTAACCCATATAAAAATATAACACAATAATTTTCCAAATAAACATTCACCCTCAATTGACATATAAACTAATTACTTCACAAAAGTCTTTTTTATGTGAAATTGATATAATCGATAATTTGGGAAATTATATCAAGTCATCAACATTTAACAACGGTACTATGGTTTCATACCTTCTTGATCATAAGTAACATCATCAGTCATCCTTAACAGTTCAACTGCTTTTTGATAGGCTGAATATAAGTCTTCTATGGTTTGTTTATGGTTATCGAGCATGTTATCTTCTGCAACTTGCAATTCAGATATTACTTGGTGGAAATTTAACATTTCGGGTGTCATATCATTTTCCTACAAAATACACTGCCATCTCAGATAATGGAAATTTTTGGAAAATCATGCATCATCAAACAAGACTAGATTATATCAAATTATGCCCCAAATGCATGGTTAACTACAACCCCCAATGTTAACTACAATTTATGCTCGACCTATAAATCGAACTTTATTTCATAAAAAAAACTCACTGAATTGAATTCTGTGTTGGGAAAGACTACTTCTCTCAATGTGGTTAAATATTATTTACTATTAATATGAGCTTTATTTACAGATATATACTGGGCAACCCCAGTCACCTTTAGAGCTTGTTTTGCATTAGTGTTAGCAGTATTGTATTATTGAATATGAGTAAAATAAGCAACAAATTTTATTTTTTGCTTTGGCATTATAAAGTATGTATGTGTAAGTTTTTCTTTTCACAAACTTATATTTAGTTATTTGTGAACAAATTATGTACATAAAAGTTAATTTACTTTTTATTACAATCATGTATCTAGTGGGGTAAATGTAAATATAATAAATATTTATATTAGATCAAGAAAATTGATGTTATTTTTGTAGAGAAATAATAGCTTTCATATACACATACCATATAGAGTGGACAAAGGTTTTGGATAATTTCTGTTGTGTTTCAAATTGATAGATATGAAAAATTTCTATTTTGAAAGCAAATTTCTTCCCATAGGCACAAAATACAATATTCTACAGGACTTGAGAAAAAATATCATAATAAATCATAACCTGCATACTTAATATCACTCTTGAATGAGTAAAAGGATGGGAGGGAAGGGCAGGGAGTGGAGAACTTAATGACTTAACTATTTACAGCTACGTGAATTATGGTAACTTTACACAGAATATGTTTTTCACCAAATATCTATAGTGGGGACTATTGTCACTGCAATTTCATGTTTGTTATTTTTTATATAAATAATAATACAAATAAAATACTGTTCATTATGAAGATATTCAATTCGATAAAAGTACTAACAGCACTCGTTAAATATTTTTTTTTATAAAATTCAATTGAATTTAAAAATAATAAATTCACGTTGAATCCAAATAGAACAAACTTTACTATTTTTTATTAATTAATTGCTAAACAATTCCTTCGATCTAGAAACTTTTTCCTTATGTATAAATGCCAACATGTTTCTCAAGTTACTGAAATTTATCAAAATACCTGTTAAAATTTGCCTTGTAGTTTTCTAAATGACATAATCTTAATAAAAAAGTGTAAATAACACACACAAAAGAAAAACATAACTGTAGACTATTTTTTGTTTGGAAAGAACGTTTACTACTTGCATTAAAGTTGTTTCCTAACCGTTATCTTTGTACATCTCTTATGTTTTGGTATTAGGACAATGTGAGTAAAATTGTAGTAATTGAGCGGTGCATAATTGCAGTAATAAAAAATTGGTGCATATCTTAGTGATACATGGAGAGCTTTGACAAAATACTGTGGCCGTAGAAAGAATGTATGCTACAGCAGGAAATTTTTGTAAACAAGCGTAATTTTAATTCAACGAGCTCATTGACTAAGGAGGTGGCAACATCAAACACTCACTGTGATATATCATGAATATATTCCTTCTCCTTTCCAGCACATGTTCACAGTCTTTTTTTAAGCAAATTCCGTATTTAGCTAGAGAGTCAGGAACTTCAATACAATTACATAGACAATTCTACTGTTTTATGTTGACAAGTTGGTACACTCAAATTTTTCATATCGAAATGATAAAATTGATAGTGTATTTGTCTCTACAGTTGGTAAAAATATAGTTCAAATACATTCCGTTAAAATAAAAGCGAAAAAAAAATAAATTTTACTTATATTCAATAATGTCACTATCACTTATCATGAAGAAGCCATAGAGTAGGTAACTCGGTATGTTACTTTAACCCAAATATCTACAATGTTTATAACCATTTTTAATGTAGTTAAGAAAAAAATGCTAATTTATTTTAATGTAAATTATAAGCCTTCAATATTGAAATAATTTACTTATCAAACTTACATTTAATGACCTCAGCTGGAGTAAATCTCCATCATCATCTTGTTCATTTTCAGATCCAGTATTAGTTTGGAGATCGCCACCTCCCAGTTCTTTGACACGATCGGCGTATCTCAGTGTGTTCAAGCTGTGTTCACATGAATTCACTCCGGGTGATATCATAGCAATCATACATGTTCGAGAATTTGATCCTACGAAGGAATCACGAAGAACTTGTGTTAATTTACTAACCCTAAATGGCAAGTGAGCTCCTTTGCGACCTAATGCTCGGATGCATTCTTTCAAAGCCAGAAGAGATTTGTTTATTTCAGCACCTTCCATTCCTGCAAATTAAGTTATTGATTATATTTCTCAATCAATAGATTCAATAATTTCAGAGATAAAGTACAATACAATGTTATATTTTAATTATAGAGGAATAGTAACGAATTTTAGGTAATGCCTGTTTAACACGTGAATATTTTTGTGTAATACTTCTGTACATGTCTGTTGCAAAAAATATTTTTCTGATATTTTAACATAACATGATTTGTTTTCTTTTCCATAACAGGTGTGTACCTGTAATGCAAAAATGGTAAATAGAACCTCTTTAAATCAGAAATTTATTGAAAATTGCTCACTTTTGATATAATGAATTAATAACACCATTGATTCAAAAAAGTAGAATTAATAAAACGCGACATTCTGTTTAAAATAACAATGTTGCTGTCAAGATACAGATAACTATTATATACAGGGTGTCCATTGATTGATAAAACAGCTGCTGTAAAAGAGTAAATAGAGACTTCAGGAATTGATCATGAAATATAATGTTCTATGATTTTAAATTTGTAAAATTCTGTAAACCTTGGTTAGTAGAATATTTAGAAAAGATTTTCATTGTGAGAAAATTTTCTTGCAGTTAAAAAATATAAATTTCTGAGATTAAAAAACTAAGTAAGTGTGCCCATGGATTTATTATCAAGAACAATTTAAACTCCTCTGTAAACAAAAAAATTATAATAAGAGAAGCACTCATAGATACTATTTAGAAAGATATTACTGTAGTTGAAGTGAATTCAAATGAATTGGAAGAATCTGTTTATAGAGAATCAGTACATTTGTTTCACAAACTGAATTCCAGAAGGTCCTATTTCAACAATTTATTTTTTGTTTTTTATATTCGGGGACACCCTGTATATGCAGTATGCACTTATATAAGGTAGCCAAAGATTATTTTATTTAACACGCCAATAATTACAACAAATCAGCAATTGTTCTTTATTTAGTATTTTTACACATACTAAAAAGAAAAAGAAATTTTAAATAAATAACCTTTTGTGGCAAAAAAAAACACTCAAGGGGTTATTTATTTCCAATTTCGTATTATTGAGATATATAATTTTTGCAATGCGGAATCAAATTCTGTGAATTATTCTCGAATTATTTATCGATTTGTTTTTGTTTTTAATTAATGCCAAAAATTTGACTATTTAACATAGGTACCTATGGGAAATACCCTTACAATCGAACTGCGGGTGAAAAAATGCAAATGGTAAGACAAAAAAAATATACATTTACCTGAATCATTAATTAATAGATGAAAGAAAAAAGTAGGTTACCGCACATTTCACAGAGAAATAAATTATTAAACATTAAAAATTTGTCGTTCGCTAAATAATAAACTCGAAGGAGTAACGGCAACAGCACAATAAAGTATGGATGAGGATAGGTGGCGGGAAATTTTAACAAATATTTTGATACTTGTCATTAGAAATGAATTACATTCAGCTTGTTTATTTGTATAATTCAATTTGGAATAATAAAATAAAATTGGAAATTTTCAAATGAAGCATGTTTTTTGAAATTATTTGTAAAGTAAATACAAGAAGTAAAAAATACAGCAGCATAATATAAACAATGAAATATTAATACTGTGTATCATAGCGCATATAACAATCTTATGCATTTTTAATATCATTTAACATTTAATATTTTAATAATTTCAGTATATTTTTGGCTGCAATAACATCGTATCACAGTAGATTACTACATATATCAAATTGTATTATACTTTCATAAATGCAATCGCTCTAAACCCAAAGAAACATTTGTATTCACAAAAGTGCATTATAGTAGTACCTATGCTACTTATGCATGTAAGTAAATCATATTTAAACTTTTCTTTCTAATCTTTACTAATCTTCAAAGTCAATTGCCCTGCATTTTCGAAAAAAGTTTAAATTTAAATATACTGTCAAATTTGCTCCATATGTCAGTTACAAAACATTTGGTTTTAATGTTAAGACTTAAATAAACGGTTGAGACCCAACCATCAAAATCGTAATTCAAAATCTGACCAATTGGCTAAACAGTTGACCGATCATGTGGCACAGCCTAACACTTTCCCTGATCCAACCATTTTTCTAATGCAGGCTAAGTGGCCAATAAATTAAATAAAAGTAATTTTGAAAAAAGAACAGAAATACATTTTGGGTATTTTATATTTATGTTAATATTCTTCAACTAGGTTGAAAAATCATGAAGAAAGTTAGTATACTAGCAGATCATATGAGTGAAATGATAGACTAGTTTCATTAGATAATGTAAATGTGAAATATCGACAAAAAATATTAAAAAGCTAATTCAAATTTTTGGTGCGGTATTTGTTCAGTTTTGCTCAAACATATATTTGATTTTTTAAGTTCTGTTTAATAAAAAGAAATTTATTGCTTTTTGGTTGTGTGTTTTTTACTTTGAATAATTAATGTCATGTTCATTATTGTGATCGTATTATGAATTATAATGGGAAAATATCTAATTACTAATTATTATCTGAGAAGTAAGTTATAAAAATAAAATATTAAATTTGAGTAAGCTGTAATATCAAATTTGTTACAGTTAAAACATAAATATAACTTACTTGTCTGTCGGTTTGCTGATGAAGTGTCTGCTCCTCTTTCATTCCCAGCCAAATCGATTAGTGAAAATTTACCATATATTTTAGACATATTGTTGTTCGATCGTAGGTAAATTTGAAAAACTGCGTGTGAACGAGAGGAATTGGAGTTGGCAAATGTCTGTCCAGATGTGCGTGCTTGATTTCCTTTTTGAATTAGTTTTAATACTTCGTCTGTGTTGCTAACGACTTTTTCAGTAAGACCTACTACCTGTACTTGTTGTTTACCGTCTTCTAATATTCTCAGTTTTGCTTTGTTGTTGAGTAAGTCAAACACCTTCCCAGAATATATTTCAAAGAAACTCGAAGAGACAACAAGGTTCAGAGGTCGATATTTTGGTGAATTTGCCAGTCTAAATACATCACCTGCTGCCATTGCATAAATACCCTTTTGGCAATCTTGAGTTTTGCCATTAAAGTCGCCACCCATAGTATGTGTTTTGCCTGATCCTGTTTGGCCGTATGCAAAACAAGTTGCAAAACCTCCCTCGAATATTGTTTTTATTAATGGTTGTGCGGTGTACCTAGAATGAAGTAATGGTAATTAAAACTATAGAATATGTACTAGAAAAGGATTACCTATACACCATTTCGTTTGAGCATGTTTCATCAAAAGCATAATCGAACCTAAAGAGTTGATTCTCCAGATATTTTGTTAGGTCCACTTTATTTTTTGGTTCGTGAACAATTAATTGGTTCTTACTTGGAATCGTAATTACATCTACTTCTTTCCTAGCTGCTTCCTTTTTGTTTAAAGGCCTCTTTCGAACACAAACTGTTATTAAATGATCTTCAATGGCGTCGTTCTCCGATAGTGGTTTAATATCTAAACCACGTCGATATTCCCTATAGGAAAATAAAAACAATTACTAGAAATTAACCTTATTCATTAGTCGTCTATTTCGAATAAATGTCGTTCACAGAAAAAAAAGAATTAATTGATAAATGAGGCACACTCTAGAACTGAAAACATGTATACAGTTGCATGTTGCAAAAATATCTGTAAGCTTATTTTTTTAAATTAATGAATTTCGATGATCCCCTAAACCCTGTATTTATTTTGGACTTAAATGCTGTGTTGCCAAGTGAGCTTTTAAAAGACATTTTGGTCACTAACAACTAACTGTACTATATAAAACAAATATAAACATTTAATATAGAGTACCCAAAATTATCTTCTAAATACCGATATTCTTATTAATTTTTTTTCTACTTTTCCGAATGGAACATATTCCATTCTCTGTATTTTGTATGTAGTAATGAAGACTTCGATTCTCTTTATTTTGATACCAAGCAGCAAGGTTTGATTATATTGAAAATACAGACTATAAAAAAAATACAAGAGAAAAACTATATAAATAAGCAAAATGAGTTGGCTATAACTGTAACAGTTGGAAATATCTGGAATATGGAGTATCAAAACAAGCTTTTATGTCTCAAAAATAAAAAATTTGTGCAGTGGTAGTATGGCAGTTGGGTGTTCCAGTAACGAAGAGATTACCAAAATATGAAATCAATGAACTTGGATCTATTATCCCAAGAATATCTGGGTTTATAGTTAAACACGAACCTGTTGAATTGGCAACTTTTCTGAGAAAGCAGAAGCAACACGTCTTACTAGAAAACTCATCTTTAACTGTTACTGATGCGTGACCCTTGAAGCAAAATAAAAACATGTATCAGTCTAAGCCGTCATTAAATATTAATTCGTATAAAAAGGTTATGCATTATTTGTAGGTTATGACTATTGTTCTGCATGTGATTGAGCTTCGAATGTGCTTCTATTGTTTGGTTTTTCACATGTTGCTTAGGATTCTCATTGCCCTATTTTTATAAAAAAGTTACTTAAAACATAATAATCATGAGAATGTAAATTCCAAAATCGAGTTCTGCGTCCGCCGAGTCAACTCAAAAAAGGAATATAAAAGATTTGAATATTTACTACCATAACATTGTGAAAAATTATTTTATTATGGACTTGATACAACATCTCTGAATTTCTTTAAGACATACCGTCAGCAAATAGTTATGCTAAATGATAAATCCTCACAGGCTGGGATTGTTTCTTCGGGGGTTCCTCAAGGCTCAGTTCTGGGTCCTCCTGTTTCTCATTTACACGGCTGACATTTTTAAGTCGGTAGATTACTCTTACGTCACACAGTTGTCTTTTTCCTTCAATAGTGACCTTATTATAGCTAACAATAATATTAACTCCGATCTTGAATCTATTTTGCATTTTTCTGAACGTAATAATTTAAAACTTAATTCTAGTAAATGTAATGTTATTTTCTTCACACCAGAACACATGAAAGTAAAAATGCAGAGAGAATTAAAATTGCATATTAATAATCAGCCCTTAAATTCTTTATTAGATGTAGTAAAAAATCTAGCGCTCCTCCTAGATTCTAAACTTCGATTTCGAGAACAAGTCTCTATTTTGGTAAATAAATGTTATATTGCTTTGAGGTTGCTTTACCAAAATGTAAGTATATTAAATTTTAAATTAAGAAAAAAAAAATGGTTCAATCACTTGTGTTGTCTATTTTAAATTACTGCAATATTGTATATTTTTCTTGTTTAGACAAAATCACTCAGTATCACCTTCAGAAAATTCAAAACAGCTGTTGTAGATGTTTTTTGCTTAAAAAAATATAATAGAATTTCTAAAAAGATTAGACAGTTGTGTTGGTTAAACATCAGTGATACTTTCACATTTCGTTTGTGTTTTTATAAATCAAATTTTACACACATCTTCCCCACCATATCTTGCCAACTCAAATAAACACTTTTCCTTGTAGATTTCTTTCATATTCTACATTTAGAGTATGGTTAAACTGCCTCTAAATAATTAATGATATTGATTATTAAAATCTACATATTGTTATTTTATTGTAACAATAATTTCTGGATTTTTAATAGATTTTTATTTTTACATTGCGAAAAATATTCCAGTTTTTTATTTGACTTGTCATACCCCCAAGTACCACTTAAAAGTAAATTTTATGGTAACAAAATGAAGAAAATTAAATACAAAAAAATTACAAAAAAATTAAATTGAAAATATTGACTAATGATGGAATACAATATATTACAGTGATAAAAAAACGTAAAAAATATGTTACATACACACTGTTAATTTAGAACAAAATTGACATTTGTAAAAAACGTCCATTAAAATGTTCTGTTTACTTACAATATCATGTTTAACAATTCCCAATGTGGATTTCCCGGGGCCATTTGTAAAAAAGCTTCTTTTTCCGCCTTTTCTTCAGCTTGTCGTTGCCGTCGTTCTTCTCGGTTTTTTTTCAGTTTCTCTACTTCTTTTACCACATTACTCCGTCGAGTATTCTAAATTAAATAAAAACCATAAAAATTATATATTTCTAATCAAAATCATTAAAAATGGAACTCAATTTCGCAATAGATTTTCTAGCGAACTACTAACCCTACAGAATATTCCAGATTTTGGGGAAAAAACTTATCGCTTCGTACTATACACTAAGTCAAAAAGTTTGGAAGCAGTGGGAGTATTCAATTAGTTCTGAAACTATTTTAAAATAGAATGGCAATTTATGAAAATCCTTTATTGAATAAGTTATAATAATATTTAAGCTACAAAATAAAAACAAATAATCATTTATTAAACAAGACTGTGTGTGGTTTGCCTGCCTATGTGCGAGTGTGTTGTGTGTGTGTCCGCGCCTGTCTGTGAGTGTGTGTTCGTCTGTGTGTGGGTGCGTGCAGGCCCTTGTGCTTGTGTGGGAAAATCAGATCAGTCGTTCACGAGAAAATCAACTTTGAAACTGGGGCCCACTTTTAGTTGTGTGTTAATTTTGTTGAAACACATATTTTTATTTAGAAAACTTCCAGTTAACTACACAACTATGCTAGCTAAAAACTAGAAAGAAAAATTTAACTTACAGTATAAATTTAAAAATTAATATTAAATGTGCTTGCTAATTCAGTATTTAATTTTCAATAATTTTTTGCTACAGTATACAGTATACTCGACGTTGCAGGGTAACGAAAAATGTTACGAAAAATTTGAAGTATGGAGTTCAAGCGGCATGGATTAAAGTGCATTTTGCACCAAAAATGAAAGATTTAGATATTTCGAAAATTGTATTGACGTCACGAAATCTTTTTTTTTTCCAGAAATATACCTTTATTTTCCATATTTAAAAAGAAACATACTTTTTCGATAAACTTTTATTTAAAAAAAATCTATTTTTATTAAAAAATTATGATCAAAAGTAAAAACAATAACTAGGACGTCAAAGTTACATTAGGTATAATAATAACTTTATGGAACATTCTCTGGAAAGTGTTTACAGACAGAGTTGTTAGCAGTTTTCAGTGTTTTTTCGATTATTTGTAACAATGCTATCACAGCAAAAAAAGTTGATATGTTATGGAGAAGCACAGAAAAATTCTAGAAGAGCTGTTCAGTTGTATAGGGAAAGATTTCTGACTGTCATGTCTCTGACTACAAAATATTTGTCAGGCTAGAACAATGACAACCTATGACAAAATGAAAATGCATTTTTGAATCGAAAGGGAAAATCAATAAGAAAAAGGGTTTAAGATAAGTATACTACTGCACAAGTGGTTAATATTTTGAGAACCACCCGCAAAACTTAATAAGGCAAGCTAGTCACGAGTTAAATTTGAAAACATCTTCGATTCGCCAGATATTAAAAGCTAATGGTTACCACGATTTTAAAACACATAACTTGAAATATTTATCTGAAATTCATCTAGAAAAAAGATTGAGTTTTCTTAAATGAATCATGGTAGCTGCTGTTTCTGATCGATGAATATTTCATCATATTCTTTGTACGGATAAAAGCCGTTTTGTAAGTAATGGTTTACCAAATAAAAAAATGAACATTATTGGCCCATTGAGAAACCATACTTTGTTCATCCTATACAAAATCAAGGACATTTTGGTGTGGATGTGTGTGGTGTGGTGTGGTGTCAATAGATGTCATTTGATAGAACCATACTTTTATGAAGTTGAATAGTATAGAATACTTGCGTTTCTTGCAAGAAGAACTCCCAGCACTTCTCGAAAACATACCTTTGCAGTTGAGAAGGAGTTTGTGGTTTCAGCACGATGGAGCCCCACCCCATAAAGCGTTTATTGTGCAGGATTATTTAAATACTGTTTTCGAGGGACAATGGATTGGAATAAATGGACCCATAAAATGGCCTAGAAAATCTAGCGACATGACTTCTTTGGACTTTTTTTATGAGGTTTCCTTAAGCATAAAGTCTATAAAAGTATGTCACGTAATATAGAACATGTAAAAGAAAAAATTCAAAATGCCTGTGAAGAGCTTACTCCTAATATGCCGAGGAACGCAATTATAAAAGAAGTTAGGCATCGGTTAGATTTATGTTTAGTTGCAGGGGGTGGACATATAGAAATATATTACAATAATTTTGGTTATATATGTAAAATACTTCTTGTTTTTTGTTCTACTTTTATTGTTTCTGTTTTCTTTGCGATTAATTAAAGCCATGTTTAGTATTTGATATTACTATTTCAAGGACTTCTGGCAACTTGCATCATTAACAGTGTCCTAGCAAGCCTTGTATGAAAGCTTTCAAAGGCCTCCTACTATTAACGAAGCAGTAAATTCTAAAATAATTATTACAAATCATTTGTAATTATTATTTATACTTCTGGTCATAACTTTTTAATGAAAATAGATGGAGAAAAATTTTTAAATAAAAGTTTATCGGAAAAATATGTTCTATTTAAATATGGAAAAATACAGGTATTTTCGTGGAAAAAAATATTTCATGACGTCAACACAATTTTCGAAATATCTAAAACTTTAATTTGTGGTGCAAAATGCTGCTTAAACTCCATACTTCAAATTTTCAGTAACATATTTCGTTACCCTGTAATATCATTAATTAGTGCAATGGCTGGCGACAGACAAAGCTGTATTTACGAATAGAACCGGCGTGCGTGACAATCACAACACACGTCTGAGGAAGGAAAATCTCACAAGCAGTAAGACAACACTGACCAGTCAGCACTGTTTTTCTTTACACCTTTGAGCAGAATTTATCAAGGATTGTTTAATTGGTCCAATTATTTTACCAAATAAAAAATAATGTGGATTTTGTACAATGGAAAGCCTCTTCATTTCCACTTAGGTGCATGGTGTGTTAAATTATATAAGGTGAACTCAATCTAATATTTTTGTGAAAGTATCTAAACAATGTCCATCAGACGGGGATCGAAACCCTGGATACTTTGTGTGATCACATTATGACAGCTACTAACACTTTATGCATACAGGAGCAACAAGAGAAACAAATATTTATTAGTGCATCAAAATTAGATCTGTTGTGCACAAATGTACTTGGTGAACAAAATTTCAAATATCTGTCATAAATAGAGCAGGTATATAAACTCCCTATTATAATGTTAAAGAGGAATGGTTTCTTATAAAAAAAAAATTAGTGTTGTATGACCCATAGAGATTTTCTGAGGTTTTGTTTTCGGAATATGGATACACAGTACAGTGTGTTTAAGTTATGAATCAAAAATACAAAAATTTGCGTGAAATGCCTTTTGCATTTATTAGTTAATCAATTCCATTTTATGGTTTTGATTTTTTAAATTAGTGTCAACAGGAAATTTAAAAGTTTTTTGAGGGAAAATTACTATATTTCTGAAAAATAAGGCAGAAAACAAAAAATTTCTATTGCAGTTAATTTATGGAGGACACTGTAAAATATTGGGTATTAAAATTACAAAAGCAACTGATATTATTTCCTAAATTATCTATAGACATGAAGTTTAAAAAAATAAAATTTTCAACAAAACTGTACAATGAAAACAATAGTTGGCCATGATCTAGTTCTAATTAAAAACAGGATGTTCTTATGCTTCCTATAAATATATATGTTGTCACATTTATTCCAGAAAGTCAGAAAGTTATAGCCATTCCTCTTTTTCCAAATATAAAGGCATGATGTAGAGATGGCTATGACTACAAATAAATACACTACTCAAAAATTTGGTGTCACTGTCTGTGAAGAAACATAAACTTATTGAATGCAATTGTTTTAGAGGCAATAGAGAACAAGTTGGTTATGATTTTATAATATCTAATAATTTTGTTTTACTTTCAATTAAATAAATATGCTTGATCTCTGGTGATACGTTATATAAAAGCAGAGCACCCAATTTTTTAATAAGATTATTTTTGCCCACAACTACATGAATGTTTTTTTTTTCCTGTATATGTTTGCTTTTACTGATGCCCTCCTTTTTTAACTTTCAATTCAATTATGTTTTCATATCTTTCAATTTTCCCGCTAAATCAGTGATAGGTAACAGATTAGAATTAAAATTAAAAAAAAATCTAGTTTTTTTTAGGTTACATAGAAAACTTGTGTCCCATCTTTGTAATTGTGATATATTAAAAAAAAATCAATTTGTTGGATTTATAGATAAAGAGAAATCAGTTTTTGCTTTGATATACTTACCTGTACTGTGTTCGTTTTACTAGTTGGTATACTACTTTCTTTCACTATTGACTCATTAGTTGGTATAACATGACCATTATTAGAGGTCTGTGTAATTCGAGATTGATGAGCTGATCGTGCAACCATATTTGCTATTGATTGCCTGGTTGGATTCTGGAGCAAAAAAAAATATGTATTAATATATCCAAACTATTATCTGCATATTTCATATGCATGGCAAATAAAATGGCTTATAACTCATAACATAACATAACATAACATAAACTTTGTTCCTCCTTGCAGAATTAAAAATTTTCCTAGAGAAAATAAAAATATACATTTAACTGCTGTAAGTTCTGAATATAATCAAAAGTAAAGAAATATTAGATCAGTTACGTGTTAATAAATTTTTTACGCAATGTAAAATTTGAAGATTTAAAATGTTTCTATAATGTAATCGTCTTTATGTAGTTATCAGAAATTGCTATGCTATAGATCTAAATCTCTAAAGTATAATTAATTGAGGAGTACGATTAATTCAAAAAGAGATTGATGATATGGCAAATTCATATACATTTTGTTGTATTCTTACACCAAATATTTTTTTGCCTAAGGTTTAATATTTTTAAGATTTAAACATATCAAATAAATTATATCTATTATATCTTCATAAAATTCTGTTCTGTGTATTATGTTTATTTTTTGAATTATGCTGTTAAAAGTTCTTGAAAAAAATACTTTTTCTCTAATATTTTCCAAATCCACATCTTTGATGGTAAAGACGTATTTTATAAAAGTATTTTCAATTATTCAGTTTCAGTGTCGTAGAAAAAAAACGCCATTGGCGCTGACCTTTATTAAAAAAAAAATTGATACACCACTGTAAAATAGAAATTAAATATAAAATTTTATAAAAATAGACCTTAAATTTGAAGAGAATTTAAAAAAATGCAATAACATATAGTGTCCCATTTGAAAAAATTAAACAAAGCACAACTAGGATAAACGAAATAGTAAAGAAATTTTAAAATTAACAGAAATATAATTTATGCAACTTACATATTTGGGACATTTACTATCATTATTAAAGTTACCTATATAATTCCGGACATGTATATGTATATCACCCTCTAAATTTTTTATAGTAACATTTTTTTTGTTCCCTCATAATAATCCATAATATATAATATCCATTAATCATAATATCCAATCCATAATAATATCTATTCATAACAAAAAAGTTTAAAATATTGAAAATAAAAAAAACTGACTTTTACTGTCATTGCATAAAATATTGACTTTACTAACCAGACTTCACCCCTTCACCCTTAAAATATACATTTCTACCGTCAAAAACATTCCATAATATTTCAATGATGGATCATTACTGCGATTGGATCATATTTGAGAAGTATTTTTATTTCAGATCACATTTATTCGATAATAGGATATATCTGAATTTAGTATATAAGTGACTGATAAGATATATCCAATCACAATACTCATTTTTTCTAGTACAATAAAGTGTCACACAAAACCAAAATTATCAAGTTAATACAAATTTAAACTACATATTATTTTATGAAAATAATAGAAGTTAGAAATGTATGAACAAATATATGTAATTCCAGAAAAACAAAGTAGGCTAGACAACAACGGAAAAAATTGTATTTATAAGTTGTATTATATAAATATGTACAGGTATATACACCATATACCAATGAAATAAACATCAAAGGAATTTTTTTTATAATCTATTTGGATCTATTTGGAAAAATTGGATTTTGATTTGATTTAGCAACTGCTTACGAAGTGCCATTAAATGACTACACATTTTCAGTGATCAAATTTTAAAAAAGAAAAGTTGTTTATTTTTAGTTATCTAGTAAAATTTTTAACTTAACATTAAACAAGCCTCTATAGAATTTTTCATGTTTACTACTGTCGTGTAAAATAAGTTTTTGCGCGTAAATATCGCTTTAGACATATTTTTTCAATTGATTTTTTAATCGATTTATTGAAACCTGATAAACTTTGCATCATGCTGGTCGGTTTTTATAACATTTTAGTTCACCATAAAAAAATATCTAAAACTACATTTAGCCTCATTTAAGTGTTAAATATAAATAATTCTATAGATTTGTTTATATTCCTTTAAATGAAAATTGTCCTCTTAATTTTTTTTTTTACTAAAAGTCGAAAACATAAGTATAAAAATTAAAAATAAACAACTTTTTCCTTTGACGTTTTTCGAAACTGAAAAAAATTAAAATTTTGGCATTATTTTGAACAGATATACAGGGTGTCCGTAAATTTCACCGACAACGTTTGACTGGCTATTCACGACGATAAATAAATACGATCTACGAAAAAAAAGTTTAATACAAAATTTTTGGTGTTTGAGTTACAGGCCTTCAAAGTTGTCAAAAATAAAACTAATTTAATTAATAACATCGCGTTAAAATTTGGCACATTTATTTTAATTATTATGGCGTATTATTCCTAAACCTTTAGTTAAATCGACATACTGGGTGGTGCTTTATTCCGGCTACCTCCTCCTTTTAGTGGTCAAAACTTTTACAGTGATCGTATTTTTTTTAAACGGGTAGCAACATTGGAAAGGAAGTTTTATTTTTAAAAAAGTTGTCTCTTGAGAAAATCACCTACAGAAAACCATTCTTGAGAAAAATGGCATTGTTTTCAGGTCTGTATATTTTTGTATGCGTAGTAGTGTCACGGATTTAAAGCTTTAAGTTCAATAGGCGATGAAAACAAAATGTTGATTGCTGTGGCTATCAGGTAATGTCATTATTGTCATTTATTCTAAGTGACAGCGTATTGATTCTACTTTTATTCAAATATTAATTGATTTTGCTAGTTTTTTAAATTCGATCCATTAGTTTATTTAGGAAGAAGTTTTTTATTAATATAGTTTTATTAAACATGGAATATTCATTCAATGAGCTTGCCGACGTGCATTTAATATTAGGAGGGCGCAGGATAAACTATCGAGCTGCTGCAATATGGTACAGTGAAAGATTCCGGAATCGTCGAACACCTCACTATCGCTTCGATTAACAGAAGATTACGAGATTCCTTTAGAAAACATAATGTAAAGGCCAATTGTCCTCGTCAGTTGCCACCCGAAGTACAAGAAGAAATTCTTAATGTTACCGAAAATGAGTCAAGAAGTGTCTGCAGTGTATCAATACAATTACATGCATGTAAAACTAATGTTTACAGAACTTTAAAACAGCAACTTCTTCGACCATTTTATTTAGCTCCTGCTCAAGAACTTGAAAATTTAGATCCCAAAGTACGTTTACAATTTTGCCGCTGGTCGGTGAATGGCTTCGCAGAAGATAATAATTTGCTTCAAAAATTATTTTTTACCGACGAATCTTGTTTTACAAGGAAGGAGTTGTAAATTTTCGTAATTTGCATGTGCGGAGTGACGAGAATCCTAAAGAAATAATGACATTACCTGACAGCCACAGCAATGAACATTTTGTTTTCATCGCCTACTGAATCCAAAGTTTTCCCTGACAAACCGAAACATATAGACTTGCAAATACTATTTCTCTCAAGAATGGTTTTCTGTAGGCGATTTTCTCAAGAAACAACTTTTTTTTTAAATAAAACGGCCTTTTCAATGATGCTGTCCGTTTAAAAAAAATATGACCACTGCAAAAGTTTTGGCCGCTAAAAGGGGGGAGGTAACCGGAGAAAACTACCACCCAGTATATCGATTTGACTAAGGTTTTAAGAAATAATACGCCATAATATTCCAAATAAATGTTCCAAATTTTAACGCGATCTGTAAAAGGGTTATGAAGTTATTAATTAAATTAGTTTTATTTTTGACAACTTTGAACTCAAAAACCAAACATTTTTTATTTAACTTTTTTTCGTAGCTCGTATTTATTTATTGTCCTGAATATGCAGTCAAACGTTGTCGGTGTTTGCGGACACCCTGTATATAAAATTATATGATTATTTTTATGCACGGCATTAAATAACATTTTTTTAATAAAAATTAATAGAAAATTTTTCCATATGATGCTTATTGCATTAGTGACAGTATGTATGTATATCAACGGGTCGACAGTTTTGCGAGCCGCGCCATAAAAATGTCGGTTATCATAACAGATATAAGTCGGTGAAATTATTGCGAATTTGTGGAATCTGATGACGAATAACATGCCGAAGAGAAAGGACCACGCACCAAATCAATGGAAAATGGATCACCGTCAAACTGGCTGAAATCATTCTTTAAATGCGCGTCTACTGCTTATGACTGAAACAAGAGTTTTGTGTCTTTCACAAAGACGCTTTTTATACCAATCAACTGACTTGCCGTAAAAGTATGATGTTTCATATATTTAAAACTAGCCATTTCTGAATTTCATGACAAGAGAACTTTTGTTCAGTAGGCTAAAAAGCTGTAACAATGAAAAAGAAAAAATCCCATATGAATCATTCTGAGTTGACCTTCAAATGATCTCTGACCTTGACTAGTGTCAGATCCAAAATCACGTTAAGGTGACTCACCCTAACCCAACACCTTTCACATACATATAATATGACTTCTTTTACATAGAAGCGTCTTCTACCAATCAACTAACTTGCCGTCTAGTCTTAAACGTAACTTCGCATGACCTTTGACCATCTATATCTCGCAAACTAGCCATTTCTGGACTTTATAACCATGAGGCCTTTTTATACAATATCATTTCAGCCAGTTTGACGGGGATTCATTTTCCATTGATTTGGTGCGTGGTCCTTTTACTCTTTTTTCGTTTTGAAATTATCAATGAAACTGAAAATTTTGATTTTTGTTTTTATTTTCTAAACTCAGATATTGTTTGTACAGGATTTAAATATGTAGTCGTATTAGTTGTGGAACATTCTCGTCTCAATTAATTTTTTTGATTAGGATGATCTGTTACATGTTATGGATCGTTTTTTATTTTTGTTAAAATACCAAATTCTCCATTTTTACAGTGTTTTGAAAACAAAACATCAAACAAATACGTACTCCGAACAAAATTTTGACAGTTCATTTACACTTTGTTTGCAAAATACTCTTCGGAAATTTGATATTTCAGCAGAAACAAAAAAACAAACCATATCGTATAACACATGGCGTAATTAGAAAAAATTAGCCGAACTAA